TCACACTTACCAATGACCACCCCAAAAGTACCATCTCTGAACCATATAAGCACCTCAGAATAGCCAAAGCTTTTATGGTTTGGTAGATAGCAGTATAGCGAAAGCGTCGTTTTTGGGTGTGGTCAGTTGACCGTCATGGTTAACTTGCCCCAAAACAGTTGAGATTATCTGTCCTAAATGAAATGCATACAAACTCATATACAGGTCCTAGACTATAGTAACCCCAGCCTCATTATCTTCACCATCACTTGTCAGCTCATCCGCAATACACGAAAGTCGCCGACCAAAGATCAGATGCGACGGTGTCAATACCTCAACCTCTGCCTCATCGTATGCGTAAGTCAACGGTCTGGAGTTCAAAGTTCCTTCAATTTCAACCAAAGTCGTCAACAACTCATCATATGTTAGCTTAGCATTTCCCAGAACCTTCCTCAAACAACGTTTTACCGTTCCAACCATCCTTTCAAAGAACCCATCTCACCATGGGGCTTTCTCTAAATTAAATCGCCACTCTAGCTTTTTGTTTTTAAGATATGCTCAAAGTCTGCCACAAGGGCGACCCGTCTTTCCCTAAATCTTAACAAAACATGAAAGAGTTGGGGTGTTAGTGATGGACCTACATGAAGACAATCATTTAGTGAAACAGCGCTTTTGCATTCCTTGCTAGATGCATCATAGACAACTCTAACCTTGGTTGTTTTTGCATTCTTCCTTACCACAGCATGATGTGGCAAATAATGTACACGCTCACCAGACTTTTCTAATTCTACAACAGGTTCTATTATTCCCTGCTGCAACTGCTCATTAATTATTTTGTCGTACTCCTTGAGTATCTCAGGCTGTTGCCGCAACCTCCTCAACTGACCATTTAACCTCTTCAGACTATTATCATAATTACTTGGCAAGGGTTTGTGAGCCATTTTCCACGGCAACCCCACTGAATATCGAACACCATTAAACTCAATTGCATCCTTCAACGACTCATGCACATCATTCTCCTCTCTAATACCCAATATCTCAAGATCCCATAATCTCTCTACATTCCTATCTAATGTATACTCATTAGGATGACTACCAACAAAATTAACATTTGCTTCCTCATCTACCCTTTCTTGCCCTTTCATGGGCCCTGACAAAACTCAACCTAGCTTGGTGTATACTGCTACAGGTTCACCAGGTTGTCCTCTCATAACTCTGTCTTCCTGAAAGCTCAATCAACAAAACACCAAAACGTCAATCAACAAAACACCTTCATTTTTGCAAACATCCGAAAACTATAGCCCCTTCAAATGTGCGTAATCATGCTTCTTAGACTCAATATGCTCATTCCGTACCTGGGATATATTCTCTACTCCATAAGCTTCCGTCTTTACACTCTCCCCTCCATTGACAGGATGCACCTCTAACTCAAAAACATCGCGTAATTTCCCTTCTGCCTTCTCCTGCCCAAAAGTACAAATCTTTAACCACTCCCTTCTCTTGACAGGAATCCTAGCTGCCTTGACAGTGACAAATGATCTATGGTTACCTGAGTCAAATAGTACCCTAGTTCTAACACCACCACCTGGACCCTTGACTACTGCCTGTGCTGTCTGCAAAGCAACACTACCTTCAGAACCTACATGGAGATTGGGACTAGCATGAGTGTCCTTTAAACTACTTTCACAGATAGAATTATGATGTCATTCACCACATGCACTACAATTACTTTTACTTAAACAGTTTTTACTTATATGTCCCTTTTTTAAACAAATGAAACATCTACCATATTTACGAATAAGTTGTTTACGTTCTATAATACCTTTGACCTTAGTGCAATTGTTGGGATCATGTTCTTGTAAACAGTAGGCACATCTTGATATAAACTTCGCAGAATCTTGTTGTTGTCGAGCCAGTAATGCAGCGGCGGAACTATTACCATACAGTCTTTTCTTCGTATACGGCTTTCCTCCCTCAGATTTCCGTTCCTGGCCTTCTGACGTAGTTATCACCGCATGGTGGGCTTCTCTCAGCTCAATTTCCTTCGTCATCGCCTCCAAAAGTTCTTTCATAGACCACTCTAAGAACTCCCTTTCCCTCGTAATTGTTAAACGAAACATTTCAGGTAATTTCTCCATTATCGTAGGCACAACAATTCTCGAATACGTGCTGACGTTTACTCCTTGCGCCTCTAGCGCACGGTAGTTCGTTTCACAGGTGTCATATAACTTCCGAAGGCCATCAAGGTCTCTATTGTTGTACACGGGTTTTAGTTTTAGCAGTTCTTGAATGAGAGCTCTCTGGATTACGTTCTTTTTCCCGTACCTGTTTCTTAACAACTCGAGTGCTTCCTTGTAGTTCGTCGCAGTAAGTGCGAACCCCGCAATACTCGATTTCGCCGGTCCAAGAAGAAGGCTTCTTAGATATGTAAATTTGTCCACATGTGACAAACACTCGTTCTGATGAATCGCGCTTTCGAAAGATTCCCAAAACTCTTGCCACTTTTGGAATTTCCATCAAACGTTTTGGCTTGTAGCTTTGGCAATTTGGCACGCACGACATGCTTTGCTTTGGTCTGCTCACTATTTCCGGACATTGTGTTTGTCTGAGACGCAGCCGCTTGCGATGATTGTAGCATTAAATTCAGTCGATCGTCAATATCAAAAACTATTTTCTGTAGCTCAGCTCTACGCTCGTCTGATTCTTCGATATAAGGATTCGTCGGAAAATTTTTCCTTTACTTTCGTAGCTAACAATGTAGCCGAACGTCTCTGACCGGACCGTAATCGCTTCGTCTTTGTTATTTCACTGATAGGCATTTTGCGCAATTTTGATTCAACCTCAATCACAATAAATCCTGCTCCGAAGGATCACGTTTCGCAACTTTCTCCTCCGCGCATTCACACACGGATTAGTCGCGCTATCAGGTTCATCACAATCTGGGGACTGTATCTTTCATTTATAGTATTTATTATATCACATTCAATACAACAATCCTTTCCAATCGAATTACAAACATTTGTCGATCAACTATATTATTACCGTCCAATTATGTTGGCGTCGTCCGGAAGTTGCCGCCTTATATTATGCATTGTTCATTGATCTCAATTTAACTATTAAATTACAAGTGCAATAATCATTTATGTTTCACTAGGATTAATTATAAACTAGTACATATATATATATATATATATATATATATATATATATATATATATATATATATATATATATATATATATATATATATATATATATATATATATATACTAGTTAAAAACTCGGTATTCAGCGGAAACAGAATTATCAAAGTATGCGTGGAAACTCAAGAAAAGCGGGAAACAATACAACATCAAGTGGAGCATATTAAAGTATGCCCGTGCGTATACGGCTGGTGCAGCAATATGCAATCTGTGCCTTGAAGAGAAGGTTTGCTTACTGGAAGCTGACAAAAGCAGGATATTGAATAAACGTTCAGAAATATTCGCGAAATGTTGTCATAGAAATACTTTTAGCGCGCGCAAATTTGAACGCACGCGAGATGCGTCAGCAAACCGTTAGTTTAGAGCACGTCATTGAATCAACTTCAATCGCCTGAAGATCGCTTCGAAAGAAGCGTGAAACACAGTGTAGCGACAAATATATTTTAAGATTAAAGAATTATTTAAGCTCTATCGTATATTGGTATTGAGCACTCTTCGTTCAATTACGGACAACAAGAATTAATTATATATATATATATATACATATATATATATATAAATATATATATATATATATATATATATATATATATATATATATATATATATATATAT